GTGTGGGTCTGTCATTGTGACTTTCAAGGTGACCCGGGGGCTCGAACCCATCTCTTCATTTCTCAGGCTGGAGAAAGAAAAAGGAAAAAAAAAGGGGGGGGGGTTGTTAAATATCAAGAGTATTCTAAACTATCAGCTGGAGAAAGAAAAAGAAAAAAANGAACTGGTAGGAACCCACCTCTGCTACAGGGTTGTTATGTGGAAAATAGGAGAAAGAAGGAGTATTGGGTATGTTTTTGAGTTATTTGTAAAAAAATAAGGAAGGTGGGATATAAATAAATAAAATAAACCCAGCTGTTAAATATTTTAAATAGCACAGTATGCTGTACCTGCACTATGAAGTAAATCAATATTGCAGTTCAGAATTTATAAGCCAGTCCGGTTCTCTTTAATGGTATCCCATTCTGTTTCTCTCCTGCCTCCCCTCCAATATTCTCTGGGCACATTTAATACCTGAGATACACAGGCTGTTCTTTAGGCTGTTATGGTTCCCCCTGATTTTTTTTAAAAAAATTAGTGTCCTCAATCAATCCCTGCATTTGCCCAAGGGTTTTCACACCTTTCCAAGCCATTGAACCAGCTGGTTAAAAAACACACACACTAAAAACCCAATCAAAAGGCAAATTTCTAGTGATAAGCAAATTGGCTATGTTCCAGTTAACATTTTCTTTTGCATTCTGTCTTTAATGTAGTTCCAAGATTTTTAGAATGGGCGTTTGTAAATTAACAAAGCACTTCTGTTTTTCACATTAAAAATAATTTGATTGCGTATTTGTATTTAGGCAAGGTTCCCCTTTGGGAAGATTGTCCCAAAATGGTTGTTCCCACCCTCACTGGGTTAGAACTATAAAATGTGATGGATGGGAATCTTGGGAGCTGTAGTGTTCAGTACATTCTGGTATTAGAAATGCCTATATGTGTATTTAGATGAGATTGTCTCTAGGTTCTCCTATGTACTAGCTGGGGAATTCTGGGAATTGAAGTCCACACATCTTAAAGTTTCCATATTTGAGAAACGTAGTTTTTACAACATGCCTGAAGTTTGGAGCTAATTTCTCTCCTGATGAGATGAGAGACTGGCCCCCATTAGAAACTGTGTGATTCTTTAAGTTTATTTTAGAACATCTTTGTTAAAGATTTATACCCTGTATTTGTTCTGGGAAGTTGGGGGGGGGGGGGGGGGGGGGGGCGGGGGGGGGGGGGGGGGGGGGGGGGGGGGGGGGGGGGGGGGGGGGGGGGGGGGGGGGGGG